GTACTGGAGCTTTTATTTTTTTTACAATGAATTGCTCCTTATACTGCTTGTTGCATAAGAATAGCGCCTATTTTTGGCTTCACTAATCTCCCCAATTATCTGTTTTAGTTATGTTTGTACTCAAAATGATCCAACCCCCATTGAAAAGCAGGTTTATTGTAAACATTTACAGACTTTCAGATGTTTAAAATGGACAAATCAAACAAAAGCAATTGAAGTAGCTCAACACAATGAATACTTCAATTGGTTTCCCCCAAATTCAGCTGGAAACACAACTTATAATGACTTCTCCAGTCTCAAAATTATTCAACCCCCTAAATAGAATCCCTCACAGCAGCACATATATGCAAAACAGGTGTTGTCTCAAGCACACCTGATGCAGCTAATCAAGGGCTTCATTAGTTGCACCAGGTGTGAATGAGCTGGAACACACCTGAACTGGGTAGGGGTTTTTGAGTGTCATGTTTGACTGCATGTCAGAAATATGGCTGTGAAAACCCTTAAGTGACTACAAAAGACCTGCACCAAGTGAGTTCAGTAAGTTCAGTAAGGATACTAAACGTATAATGTTTCCATGCCAGAACTCCAAAATGTACACCATTACTGACACAAAAGCATAAGAAAAGTCGGCTCCAAATCTTATAAATAAGCCACAGAAGTTTTGGAATTCTGTTCTGTGGAGTGATAAAACAAAACAGGAACTTTTCAGCCCAATGGATCAGTGATATGTATAGCGGAAGAAAAATGAAGCATATGCGGAAAAGAACTCTCTGCCTACAGTTAAGCATGGTGGTGGCAAAGTGGTGCTCTGGGGCTGGTTTGCATCCTCTGGCACTGGAAACCTGCAGCGTGTGGAAGGCTAGATGGAGTCACTGAATTATCAGGAAATTCTAATCGAAAACATGATGCCACCTGTGAGGAATCTAAAGAGTGGGTGTCATTGGACCTTCCAACAAGACAATGATCCCAAGCATACCTCAAATCCACCTAGGCTTGGTTGCAGAAGTTCTGGAAAATACTACAGTGACCATTATAGTCACCTGATTTGAACTCCATAGAAAATCTCTTGTGAGATTTGAAGAAGGCAGTTGTAGCACACAAACCCAAGAATATTACTGAACTGGAGGCTATTGCTTATTAGCAATGGACTAAGATACCTCAGGAATGCTGCCAGAAGCTGGTGTCTGGCTATGCATCAAATATGAATGCATGGCATTGATTTTCCAACTGAAATGTGCAGTGACTCATACTTCAGGTGGAAAATTTGCCTTTTGGCTCACTTTTGGCTCACATTAAAATAAATTTAGTAAAAGACCATACTTAGAGTCTTCATGGTGTCAGAAAAGGTCCATTGCACTGGGGAAGGCATTAAAGTAAACATTATGGTTTCATCAGTTTTCTTTAGCTTGATAAATATGATTTGCTACCCGGATCCACTAAATATATAGGAACCTATTTTTTCAGTTCTGACCAAGAGATTATGGACGTATTGCATCAATACAACATATTAATTAGTGCATTTGCCAATACGTTATCCAAACTTTCGTTGCAACGAAAAACAAGGAGATATATACACACACATATTACAATATCCAGGGCCGTCTTTAACGCGGGGCAAACGGGGCAGCTGCCCCGGGCCCAATTACTCCTGGGGGCCCAAGGCAGCTGTCCCGTGGGCCCCGCTGCCCTAAAAAAATAAAATGTTTCCCGGCCGCTTTAGGGCCCCCCCGCACTGTAAGGAGTCCCACCGGGTGGCCCATGCACTTAGGGCCACCCAGTGGGCTTGTACCAGCAAGGGCCCGGTCGGGCGCTGTGGCCCTTTAACAGCGCGACCGGGCCTCTTGCTTTTCGGCACCGCTGGGAGGAAGTGAGTGCCAAGCGTCACTTCCTCCCATAAAGAGCTGCTGCGCGGGAGAAGAAGGACCTGCACGGGAGGGAGGAGGAGGCAGTGAGGATGGGGGCTCCTCACTCACATCATCCTCAGGCAGCACACTGGATCCCAGGGATGCCACCCTCCAGCAAAAGGTAGGAAACTGGAGGGTGGGCTTAAAATGTAAATTTTACATGTATGTCAGATTGTCTGTGTGTATGTGTGTCAGTATGTCTGATAGTGTATGTGTCTGTGTGTGTCAGTATGTCTGTGTGTATGTGTGTCAGTATGTCTGATAGTGTGTGTGTCAGTATGTCTGACAGTGTGTCTGTGTGTGTGTGTGTGTGTGTCAGTATGTCTGACAGTGTATGTGTCTGTGTGTGTCAGTATGTCTGTGTATGTCAGTATGTCTGATAGTGTATGTGTGTATGTCAGTATGTTTGACAGTGTCTGTATCTGTGTGTGTGTCAGAAGGTCTGTGTGAGTGTATGTCAGTATGTATCTGTGTGTCAGTATGTCTCTGTGTGTGTCAGTATGTCTGGTGTGTGTGTGTGTGTCAGTATGTCTGACAGTGTGTCTGTGTATGTCTGATAGTGTATGTCAGTATGTTTGACAGTGTCTGTATCTGTGTGTGTGTCAGAAGGTCTGTGTGAGTGTATGTCAGTATGTCTGACAGTGTATGTCTCTGTGTGTGTCAGTATGTCTCTGTGTGTGTCAGTATGTCTGGTGTGTGTGTGTGTGTGTGTGTGTGTGTCAGTATGTCTGGCAGTGTGTCTGTGTATGTCAGTATGTCTGATAGTGTATGTCAGTATGTTTGACAGTGTCTGTATCTGTGTGTGTGTCAGGTCTGTGTGAGTGTATGTCAGTATGTCTGACAGTGTATGTATCTGTGTGTGTCAGTATGTCTGTCAGTGTGTGTGCCTGTTTGTGTGTCAGTATGCTTATTAGTGTGTATGTGTGTGTGTGTGTGTCAGCATATCTATCAGTGTATGTATCTGTGTGTCAGTATGTCTCTGTGTGTGTCAGTATGTCTTCCAGTGTATGTGTGTGTGTGTGTCAGGCACATACACTGATATACATACTGATACAGGCACACTAATAGACATACTGACACACACAGGCACATACAATGACAAACATACACTGATAGACATACTGACACACACACACATGCACATATACAGACATACTGACACACACAAACACACACTTATACTGATAGCTATCCTGACACACACACACACAGGCACATATACAGACATACTGACACACACACAGCCACATACGCTGATAGAGATACTGTGTGTGTGTTAGTATGTCTGTATATGTGCCTGTTTGTGTGTGTGTTTGTCAGTATGTCTATCAGTGTTTGTGCCTGTGTGTGTCAGTATGTTTGTCATCATATGTGCCTGTGAGACCGTTTGTGTCAGTGTGTCTTTCAGTATGTCTATCATTGTATGTATTTATGTGTGTCAGTATGTCTGTTTATCTGTCTGTGTATCTGTATGTGTCTGTGTGTTTATCTGTGTGCGTATATGTATGTAGTCAGTGTGTGTATCTGCTTGTGTGTCAGCATGTCTACCGGTGTCTGAGCACAAACAATAAATACAAATACACCCTTCCATTCAAACTTCAACATTACATACAAACACACTCCTGCATTGAAAGTCAACACTTCATACAAACACACCTCTGTGTTAAACAACAGAATTATATATAAACAAACCCCTACATTCAAAAACCAGCACTACACTTAAATGTACACTTGCATTCAAACTCTAACACCACATACAAACACATTCACACAAACATACTCCATACAAAAACATGCTTACATTCAAACACACAAACACAGTGCTAAATACAACCCTGCAAGCATGGGAAATTGGTAGAGCCACGGCTGTCAATGCATTGTTGGAGTTGCACGACAGATAGGGTTCTACCTTCTTTCCAACCTTGCAATTGGGGGTCCAAATGAAATTCTTGCACCAGGGCTCTTTCTACTTTAGTTCGCCCACTGCGTTGGGGTGGAGGCGTGATTGCATGCTAGGGAGTGGATCCAGGGGGCCCAAGCAAATGCTTGCCCAGGGCCCAATCAATATTAAAGACGGCCCTGACAATATCCGTTAGAAATAAGAACTACTACTTATGCATAACGAGATTGGTCGCATTAATAAGTGCGGAATTACATGTCACATGTATAGGAAGTTGCACATCCAGGTTGTTTAGTCTAGTTATTAAATATGGGAAAAGGATGCCTAGAAGAGTTTGAATTAGGAGGTGCAGTCAATGGTAGGAACTACAAATATATTGTCCTAGATAGTGAATCGAGTTTCAGAATGTTGTTTCCTCACCGTGCTTGCAGATTCAGAAAGGAATAGTGAATAGAATGACTACTGAGTGTTTTTTTTAGGGGGGTCCCCCTTTTTTTTATTATTCTTTATTTTTGGTTTCAAACCACATACAGCATATGCCATCAATATTAAAAGAGTAGCGTGTACGTGACAGGTCACGCAGTAATACGTATCAAACACAATTTGTAGTTCTAACATTTAATTAAACACCTGCCGTGGGATGAAGGTTTTACTTTTTATTAATTCACTGCTGGTGAGGGATACGTTCTTCGCTTATAATTAGGTGCAACCAAGTCTGCCTTGTCAACTGTTATACTAGGAGATACAGGGTAAGTTGGGATTCTCAGGGTAAAACCTGGGATGTCTGGTCACTATATTATTTGATTGGTAAATCACAACAGTTTTACGCCTATATGGTGTTAGCTGAGATTTTGTGATGCTTGGTGTTGCCGATAGGCGGGGGGTATTAGTCGGTCATTTAGACCTTTCGAGCTGAGGGTGACGGGTGCTGTCTAGCTTATTCCGTGAGAAACAAAAGCAACAATAATGCGTAAACATAGAGAAAACATAGATAAAGCTGATAAAACTAAGAGCAGTAGGCAACTATAATATATCAATGTGAGCCACAGTGTGAGAGTGGTAGTCTCTTTCTGAGCATAGTCAGGTGGAGGAGGTCCCCCTTTTTTTGACCATTTTTTATAATTCAAACTGAATTTGTATGTGTGGGTTGTTTGTTTGTTTTTTTGAACACCTAGTCTTAAAACATGTCATACAAAGTACCCTTTTGCTTAGCAAAAGCAAAGTATATAAAAAGCAAAAGAATAAAACTGTTTTGTTGAATACAGTTTAATGCATTGTTGCTGCTAAATTTCTATTTTGTATGTTATTCATTAAAGAAAGCTTAAGAGGTAGATCACTAGGTTTTAAAGAACTACTCCTCCCATAATACCAGCCAGCCATATAGAAACATAGAATGTGACGGCAGATAAGAACCATTTGACTCATCTAGTCTGCCCAAACAATAGACAATGTCTAAGTTTTATTTTTAGATTTTTTTTATTTTTTTTAATTTGACAATTTTTATTTGTTCAGCACCAGTTCTTCATGGTTATTAGGCAACTGTGTAACAGCATTAGTGCGTGATGACATTCGCGTTTATTCAGTGTGTATAAATACATTTCTGAACCATCTGTTTTGTCATAAAACAACACCTTAACATTCAGGCATAAACCAATTGTGAAAGGAAAAAAGAAAGGGGAGGGGAGGGAATGGGAGTGAGTGTTGGAAAGGGAAGGGGAATGCTGCCAGAGAGGAAGGAAAAGAAAGTGGGAGGGGCATTTAGGGGAGGGACGATTGTGTGTGTCTCTGTCAGCTATTCTCAACATTTACCATATCACTTCACTTTCCTGTCTTTGTGGGTCACCTTTCATATGGTTAGATTCTCAAGGTAGGGAGGATTCAAGGTCATGTGTCAACCGTAGGTACTCAGTCAAAGGCCTTCTCCGCGTGTAGCGACATCAGAAGGCCTCCGACATCTGTCCTACGGACACTATGCAACAGATCCAACACCTTGCGAGTATTGTCAGCCCCCTGCCTTCCTGATACGAACCCCACCTGATCATCATGGATCAAGGACGGTAGTATGGAGCTCAGCATATAGCTTTGCGTCCGTGTTCAGTAGGGAGATCGGCCGAAAGTTGGGGCAATGGGTCGGTGGTTTACCGGGTTTTGGGAGCGTGACAACATTTGCTAGCAGTAGTTCCTTGGGCAAGGAGCATTCTTGAGTGGCTGAGTTAAACAGGAACGCTAAGGGGGGAACAAGCACTGATTTGAATTTTTTAAAATATAAATTTGTGAACCTGCCAGGGCCTGGGGCTTTGTGGGGTGGCAGTGATTGTATGACAAGTTCGAGTTCCGCAGGGGAGATAGGTCTTTGGAGGGCCTCAATTTGGTCAGTATTGAGGTGCAGTAGCACAACGTCCGCTAAGTAATTTTTGATCTCTTGGTCAGTTGGTGTATGTAGGTGATCAGATTTTGCTAGATTATAGAGATTTTTGTAGTATGATGCAAATGCATTGCTAATGTCTACAGGTGATATACGTTGGTGTTTATAATATAAGGGATTTTAGTATTGTGTTCTCTTTGTTTCAGTCATAGTGCTAGTGTTTTGCCTTGTTGCCCTGCGAGCACTGGTTGGCTTTCAATCTACAGAGGTTAGATCCTACTTGTTTTGGGGTATGTGTTTTAATTTTGCTCAGTATGTCATTGATCTCTTTCTGCAACTTGCTGCTAGGTTGGGCTTTATTTTTGGTTGTGAGATCATGTAGGTTCTTGTGCCAGAGCATCCATTGGGCTAGGCTGTCTTTTTTCAATAGTGACGTCTTTCTCAGAAAAAGGCCTCTTATGCCCACTTTGTGCGCCTGCCATATAGAACTAGCAGAAATGTCTTGGGTTTGATTAAGTTTTCTACTTCAGTTGTGAAGGAGGGGTTCTGCAGAACAGATTCATTAAGACGCCAGGGACTTTTATGTTTGTAGTCATAGGTGTCTTAAACAGTCATGGTTATTGCTGAGTGGTCTGACCATGTGATGGATCCTATGGAGCAGTCTAGAATTTGATCAAGGTGTTGCCCTTCCACATGGAATCTGTCGATTCTTGTGTATGTGTTGTGGGGAGAGGAGAAATACGTATAGTCTTTCTCTTGTGGGTGTGTCACTCTCCACACATCATATAGATGGTGTGTGCTGAGGAGTTTATTATACTTGGTGCAGGATTTCTGTTAACGTGTACATGTAGCCAGGGACGCCCCGGCAGTAGGCTTCCAATCAGAATCTAGTGTATGGTTAAAGTCTCCGCAGAGAATGAGCATTCCCTCCTGGACTGGCGAGATCTTAGTTAGCACCCTATGTAAAAAGTGCCTCTGGTTTGTGTTAGGGCATATACGTTGACTATCGTATATTTTGTGTTGTTTATAGTGCATATTATGATTAAAAACCTGCCCTTAGGGTCCAGATGCGAATTCTGATGCTGGAATGCTACATTGTCACTTATCAAGATAGAAACACCTCGGGTTTTATGTCCAGTCACTACGTGATATTGAAACGGGTAGAGAGAGGGTTTAAAGCTAGGGGACGCTTTGAGGTGTGTCTCTTGTAGACATACTATATCTGGATTTGTGCGTTTCAGGTCAGGAAAAAGGCAGTGGCGTTTGAGAGGGGTATTGAGGCCACGTGCATTATGGCAATGGATTTTAATATTGTGGTATCATAACATTTTGCTAATAAAACTCATCTGTCAATTACATACATTCCCCTTGTGCATTGAGACAGGTGTGTCCTTTTATTGCTTAAGAGAAGGTGATAAGTCAGATCTCTCAGTCTCATTTTTATGGGGTCAGTGGTTTTGTTTTGCCTTCGATCTATGACGTTTAGAGTCAGATATTTTATGACAAGAGATGTCGCCCCAACCGGGCGTGTTATATGGTGGTTGTGGTCCGGAATGTTGGGCTTAGAGCGAGCAGATTCCACACTAAGGGGGGGTGAGAGTTAACCGAGGAGGGGGGTGAAAGAAACATGAATAACAGCATAAAAGTTAAGTAGTTGGCACTACTGATGCCTTAGTATGGGAGATGTACCGTAATCCAGGTTCCATGTGGGAGCGTGGTACTTTTGGAGTTGAGTTGTCATTAGGGGTTATCGGCCCAACATTGGTCTATATTGGGAACCAGCTTGTCACCTTAGCTTGCATATAGTAACATAACAATTTCCAGTTCAGGTAATACTAGACAATTTACAAGAGTACTAAACCTAATAACATATAATCGGGAGGTTAAGGAAATTAGAAATTAGCTTCAACTGCATGGATTTGGCAACCAACGTGGTACTCTGTGCTCGGGAAAAGTAACGGGTTTGATAACCTGTCCAATCTCGTTCCTCAGGGATATGAGGGGGTTCAGGAGCCACTTCCTGCAATAGGCAGGAAACATTTTTTTTGTCCCTTTTTTTAAATTTGTCAATTTTTTTTTGTGTTATGTAAAATAATAGTAGCGTGGAACGATAGATGCTAGGGCTGCATACCCTTTGGGTTAGGGCCTTACTCTTCTGAGTATGCCTTGCTTGAGTTCGGGTCAAGGTTATTGTGCAGGGCCTGGTTAAAGAGTGCATAAGACAAATCCCTTGGGCGGTCTCAATGCGCAGCCCAGGTTTGGGTAGATAGGTTAGTGGGCATCGCTATGCTGCTATTTGAATCCTGAGTTCATCAGGTTGAGACCTGGGTGATTTAGTCATTTGTTTTACAATAATTTGCTTTAAAGCAATGCCCCTTCTCTATTTCTGCTAGGCATACCCTTTACACAGATCAGTATTTAGCCCATCCCGTCCCCAGCAGGAAGCCTTGTAATGTGGGGGTGATCTGTAGCTAGCGCCTTGGGTCACATATGCAACTGTTGGCGGCTAAGGTAGAAAGCATTAACAGCATAAACATAGGTAGAACATATTAAATTATAAAACTTAGATCTGCTCAATCGAACAGTGGTAGAAAACAATATTATGCATTGATACTCAGACCACGGAAGATTCTGCATGTTGATGTGTAAGCTTTAGCGGGTAAACCATCAGGCTCAGTCCTCAGGTTCTCGCCTTCTTCCATTCCGGCTGCAGTCGGTGTGGTGACTCTTGCTTGTCCCCTCTTTGTTCAGGGAAGATGACAGTGGTCAGAGTTCAGTTTTTGTGGATCAAAAGGTGGACCGGGTGCCCCCATCTGTAAGGCATGTTCTGTGCTCGGAGGGCATCTGTCGCTTCTTTGCATTTCTGTCTCTTCTGAAGTATGAGTGCAGAAAGGTCGGTGAAAAGCTGTATGGAGCGGTATTTGTCAGGCATATCTTTGCATTGTCTAGAGGCTTTCATAATTGCTTCTTTGGCATGAAAGTAGTGTAGGTGGGTTAATATATTCCTGGGAATTTCCTCTGGCAGGAATTTCAGTTTTGCAACCCTGTGAGCACGGTTCATCAGCAACTTTTCGGTGGGAAAGTCCGGGACTAGAGTTTTGAAGTATCCCGTCAGGAATTCCATGATATTAGCTTGCTGTATATCTTCCGGTATACCTCGCAGCCTAATATTGTGTCTGTGGAACCTTCAAGATCAATCAGCTTAACTTGGTAGGTCTCAAGTTGGTGCTCAAGTTTCTGGACGCGGTCCGCAATGTCATTATGCGCTTCTGCATATTCACCCATGCGGTGTTCCATGCGCGTGGTTCTCTCCCCCATTTCCTGCACATCTTTCTTTAGGTCAGCCGTGGTCCTGTTAAAGTTGCGGAGCAGTTTGTCCGACATTTCTTTCAGGCATATCTGCAGTATATCCTGTGTGAAAGGTAGGCCTCTGCTAGTTGGGGAGCCTGTGAGTGGCAAGGTCTCGTTGCCGTCACCATCTTGGTCACAGTGCTGTAGGCTGGAGATCTTCGTAGGCTGATTTCTGGCTGTGAAGAAGCCACTTTTGTCCCCTTTGTCGGGTTTCTTCTTCCCCTATGTGGGTGTAGGTTTAGGTGTAGCATGCTGGTTTAAACATAGGTTGAGTTGCTTTGTTATGCCGATATGGAGCGGAGCTCACTCACGCGTGTCCGTCCTTGCAAGCGGTCAGGACACATCCCCCCTAAATTTTTATTTTTTTTAATAATTTAAAATTATTAATTAAAATGTTTTTGTTTTTTTTTGACTTGCTTAACATTTTTCTTGTTTAAAGAATTTGGAGAACTTTCTTGTTAAGCGGCAAAAAAGGAAATTCACACACAACATTATCAATATGAGTAGGCAGACCACATTGTGCACAACAGATTGTAAAATGATTACATTAAAAGTACAGTGTAGGGTGCAGTAAAACCATAAAACAAAGCAGTAAAAATAATCTTTTTTTAAAAATGATAATATACAGATATATTATATAAAATACACCCATGCTTTATATTGGGTTTCTGTTTATAGTAATGTACATTCTCTGTGAAATCTGTATCTTTTGCAGTAT